AATTCGCCAGGGCCGAGCGGCCCGTCCCGGCCGCGCCCGCGGGAGGGGCAGCGTGCGGGGCTTCGGCGTGGCGCCCTACAGAGACGGCGCTGTCGTTCCGTTTCGTTTTCCTGCCCCTGCGCAGGGGTTTCTGCCCGTCCGGCTCGTTGTGCGGGCGCCGGGTTTGCGTCTTTTCCGCTGCCTCAGCCGAATCGCGGCCTGGTGCTGCGGAGGCCGGTAGAACAGGAAGTCGGGAACGGCAGAAACGTTTGCGCTTTTCTTTTTCCCCTGCGTAGGCATTAACTCTCGGGTCCGGGACGGTGTCATAGCTGTGGGAGCCGTGCGGTCTGCTCCGCTGCCAGCAATGTAACTCCACTAGCACTAGTAACTCCAGTGTCTAGAGAAACTGTCGTGCAGCCTTACATAAGGAACGAGGCTGAAGTGTCCAAGTGCGTGTGCTTGTGGCTGCTGCACTGAGCCATCACTTGCCCGTAAAACTCAGCCCGCCGCGTGCGGTGCCGCTCCTGGGCACGGTCTGGAGCTTGGCTGCCCTTTGCACGTGCGCTCCGTGCAACCTGCTGCGTGCTCCGGCCGGACGCAGCCAGTGACGGCCCTGAGGAGCACACGGCCTTCGCCCTCCCTGTCGTGCAAAAAACAAAACATTGCAGTTACTGGGACAAGTGCTGTAAAGGTCTGAGGTCGTTTATGGTAGTAGAATCTTTGTGGAAGTATGCCAGTTTAGGTCCTACAAGTAATCCACAGAGAAGAACCATGCCGATATTTTATTACCTCAGTAGACTATTGTTTTTAACTGCTTTTCCAGAGGAAGAAATTGGGATGTGTACTACTTTGTGCAAGTATCCAGATTTGTACCTTCACTATCTATGAGAGGATGGGAGTGAAAAAAAACAGGTCACGCTAAGCAACTGACACAGTGTTTTTCACCCTGTGCTATGAACACAGAAAGAATTAGACAAACGCTTCAATGTCAATTCTGCAAGAAAGAGCCACTGCATGATGAATTTGTGATTAACTTTGTGTAGACTGGAGGGCATTTTTAACAATTACCATTTTAAAAAAGAACCTCTCTCAATCTTCCAAGAACAGATTTTACTAAACCTGGATTATGTTCTGTGTTAGCAGGCTAATACACGTGACGTAGGAAGAGTCTGAATAAAACTCAAAAGCCATGGCAACACACTGGAGGAGAATCCTGATAATGTTTGTGGCAGCTCAAGCACTATTTGTGGTAAATACCTTTGAGGAAGAGGATGTGCCCGAGGAATGGATTCTTCTTCATGTTGTTCAAGGGCAGATTGGAGCTGGAAACTACAGCTATTTGAGACTAAATCACGAAGGGAAGATAGTACTTCAGATGCAGAGTTTGAAAGGTGATGCAGACTTGTATGTATCTGATATAACTCTTCACCCTAGCTTTGATGAGTATGAGCTACAGTCTGTAACTTGTGGCCAAGATGTTGTTCATGTACCAGCACACTTCCGCCGCCCCGTGGGAATAGGGATTTATGGTCATCCCTCTCACCTGGAGAGCGAGTTCGAAATGAAAGTATATTATGATCGAACAGTTGTACAGTACCCATTTGGTGAGGCTTCTTACAACCCAGAAGAAATGGAGGCAAACCAGAAATACTCAGCAGAAGATGAATCTCAGGATGAGGAGTCTCTTTTCTGGACTATACTTTTTGGAATATTGAAACTAATACTTGAAATTCTTTTTTAAATTGATGTACACTGGACTAAATCACAATTCAGCATGTGAAACTGAATATGAATGACTATAATACTTAGTACTCTTTGTGAAGTTTCCTGAAGAGGTATTTGGGTTACTTTTTCTATACCCAGAAAGGAAGTGGGGGGAAAAGCCATACTTCATTCTAAATCCTCCCCTATACATAAAATGAGCAGCAAGCACAGTATTTTTTAGGGCTTAAAATGAATGTACAGATGGGATTCTTACTAAATTCACTTTAAATAGGTGCTTAGGAAAACAAAAATCAACTCTAATTCAGTATTTTCTAGCAATTTTTATAAAAATATGAAATAGGAAATGCTGCACTTCACTGCCCCCCTCAGCTTAAAGCATACTTAAAACTAAGATCTACTGCTTCTCTGAACAAGGATCTTCAGTAAAACTAATCAGCAATGGCTTTGGAGTCAAACCGAGAAGCTGAGGGCGAAGGAAGCTAAAACCAAATGGTCACCTAAGGCAATATGTGATCTGTATCTTCACGGCTTGTGCTCTACATCATTTAAGTCCTCCATCTGCAAGTGGAGGCCTGTCCACTCACTCGTCACCTCTGCAAATCCATGACATGAATCAGGTGCATGCTGCATTCTCACTACACAGAGAGTGAGCCCTCAGCTGCTCTGAGCTGTCAACAGGACATTCCTTGCTAAATGCAATGCAGCATACAGTATTCACTGAAAGGAATTGACAGCACACTTGCTCTCGCTTCCTTTAGTTTTTCCAAGAGCAGTTTTTCTTTGGTTTGGTCTTAAAAAGCAACCAGTTGCTATGCAAACAGTGTACATTTAAATTGCTCTGTAACTTTCTTTTCACAGAGTTTACTGATAGGTGCACTGAAATGAACAAGTATGTTAATACAGTTTTATACGAACATTGCATGTACAATTTGAGTTTCATTATTGAAAGCATTCTCTTTTTGAATGGGAATTTGGATTTTCTATCTAGAGATCTGATAGAACAGTTAGGGAATTTTATCACCAAAAAATTGTTATATAGCCAAAATTGAAAGTTTATTTGGTAAAAAGAAAAAAAAAAGTGGTATTGTTCCTCTCAGAGTGGTTGGTTAAATAGCACCAAATTATCACTTAAATTTGTGCAGTTAAGTTTTGGACAAGACTGGGGGGAGGTTGCTTGTTTTGCTTTTTTTATCCCTCCTTGCTGTTTTTTCCCCTTCTTCCTCCTCTTCTGGGTACAGGAGAGTCTTTCTGACAACAATCACAAATCCAGCGACCTAAGAAAAAAAAGTTATTAATTATTGGGAAACTACCTTTAATACTCACTCCTCTAATTATGCACCTTCCACCATCTGAAAAGGTGCTAATCTATTTGTAATAGCTCCCTAAATGTAAATAACCAGTGTATTTTCTAGCACGTGTAGAAAGCAGCATACAGAATTCACCCTTGGTTGCAGACTCTGTAGCAGTTGGCTACAGATGTTTATAAACCACAAGAAGTAAGAGCTAGCACTGCTGAGGTGCTTATAAGAAACAAAACTCAACATATTGTGTTCGAGTTTGTAAATTCAGTTTTCATACAAATGACCACAATTTAAAGTCCTGGACAATTACTTGGAGCAGAAATGAATGGCAGGGGGAGAATGCAGCCATTCTGCAACTGTGTACTAGGCTCCATTCCTCAAATTAGTGTCAGTTATTCCAGTGCAGTCAGACAACACAGATTAAATGGCTATCAGGGTGTGTCACCAGACCTTGTACTAAAATTCATTTGAGGGAACAATAATGGGTAGAGAAAAGTGCAGGAGCATTATTTATTTATTTATATTACAATAGCTGGAATCAAAGTTGATTTGGTAGCTTTATGGTTTTCTAGGAACATAATCTACTGCTTCTAGATTCTGACCTTAGGACAGCCTGAAAATTAAAGCAGCCACAGAACATGTACTGACATGACAGCTGTTTTGAGTACTTCCTAAAATGGGAATATACAACAGAGATTTGCTCATATTTGAATGGGAATACTGTTATTACTGAACTTGCAGCCACTGAGCACTTAGGTATTCATGAATTTACTGCATAAAATGGATTTAGTATTACACAAAAACTGAGAATACTGTCAGTATCTTTACAGGAAGAGGAGCTTTCTTTACACTTATATGAGTTGGCTAGATGATATGAGTGACGAGGTGACCTAGAAGTACAGGCTGCCTGACATGTAGGTACTTTACTTCCAGCTTTGTGTTTTTGTTTGTTTAAGGGCGGAGGAGAGGAAGGAGTTTAGGAAAGTGTTTACAAGTATTAAATGGAGCATACTTCTTAATTTAGAAACTGAAATAACAGCACAAACATTTTAATGTGAAAGCTATACTCCAGCAATATGCAGCAGTGCAGCCTCTTTACAGGTTTCTTTGATGAAGAAAAGTAATTATTCTCTGTGTTCTTTGGAAATACAAAAAAAAAAAAGTATGGTTCTGGGCGAGTCTACTTGGATTCTGTTATAAAAAACGATTATATTTCCTAATCCCTAGGAATTGCCAGGTTAAACTGTAACCAACCAAATACAAAGAAATAAATCTTATTAAATTCATGTCCTGCAGTGTGCATATGCTTATTCCTAGCCTTCGTCCTCTTTTAAACTATTCTTTCATAAGCAATGCATGTATTAATCCTGACAGAGAAACCCCAGGACCCAGAGTAAGTGGGAACAAGTAACTCTTGTTTTATTACCTGAAGGGATTGCGTCAAGCCCCACACAAAATGTGTGATAACCACGGTCACATACATCACAGAACATCATTTCTTCTTCATGGTGAGGCTGCCCACAGATAATGCATGTTTTACACTCCATACACTGCCAAGGGTAAGTCTTAATCATAGCAACAAGCTCCGGGGTCATATCAAGGCAAGAAGGGTGGCCTAGATTAAAATCAATATTATTACTATTATGTCTGAAATGAAATTGAAAATTAGTTAGTCTGTTTGCTCTTATAGAGGCTGAAGTTTAGCTCACCTTCCAGTAAGATGTCTCAGTGCATTGAACATGCTTATATATTAAACAGAGATGAGGTTTTGAAGGAGGGCAGGAAAGGCAACTGAACTGTTAGTACACATTTGGTTCACTAAATATTTCCACAGAAAGATTTGGCAAATAAAAACCCTTAGGAATCCAGTTAGTGTATACAGATACTTACCACTGTTGTCACACTGGGAGCAATGTATAAGTGCTTCAGCTTTTCCTTTCTTGTTGGACTCCTTACCCTTCAGACAAATTCCACATATAGCATTTGGAATGACCTTTGGCTGGAAGGGTAGAAGAGGGCTATAAATTCATTCCAGAAGAATTTATAGATTTAACAGGAAATGTAATATATCTCCTTAATTCTTACAAAATAATACGATGTTATGGAGGTGACCCTTAAAACATGACATAATCAACAAGCAGTAGCATGTAAAATCTTGCACTTGACACAGGTTGCAACTGTTGCTGCAACAGAACTATGTACTACTGTAAGTTTCTTCCTATAAATTCATCAGCTAACATTCCCCCTCAATGTAAACTAAATGTGGTACAGCATTAATGATTTTGGTATTTCTTTCCAAACAGAATGCTTATGAATCTCCATGCCCATTTCCTGTCTATGGAAAAAATAAATACAATTTTGCATTTGTACAAAGTTTGTCTATTTTTGCATTTGTACAAAGTTTGTCTATTTAAGAATTTTAACTAAATTGTAAAAGCAGTAAACTCAACACTTCTATCTTTAAGGTTTCAAAATATTTTATCAGCTTACTCCATACTGTTTTATGATTCTTGTGTTCAGTCATAACTGCATTAAGAAGTACATATCCTCATACTTGGCTATAGATTTACATTTATAAAATTTCAGGTGATTATCTGGTGCATATATGTGGATTAATGTTTGTGTATTAATTGGGTCCAAATCTCCAAGCTTGATCAAAACCAAGCAAGAAATAAGGCACTAAGTATTTCAGAAACATTTCACTAGTTACACTTTTGAGCTTTGACCATTACATAATGAAATTAGCAAGAAACAACGATTAAAATTCATACAGTCCTCAGTGGTTTAAAATCTACTAGTACTGGAGTTTAAAAAAATGTTAGCCACTAAAGAAAGTTTGAAGTGTATCCTGGTATCTCATAGTTCTAAGGAACTAAATGACTTGCCAGTACGGAAGAGTCCCAGTAAATTACCAAACATGCGTGTGCGTGTACAAGAATGAAATTAATAAAAATGAATAAACAGAACTATATGTAAAAAATATCTTTTGGAATGCAACTCATCCTTAAATGCATCTCCTTCCCCATCCAGTTTGTTTTCTTCTAGCAACATAATTAGTATCTTAATTCATTTTTAAGTTCTCGGGATGCATTACTTTATTTCAAATTTCTGAAATTTTCAGTCTGCATTTTAACTTAGAAATGTTGCCACAGTCTGCTTCAAACTGTCCGACCTGAAGAGTTGTATTTAAAAAACAAAACACCATACAGTTAACTTCCTTTTCAAAAGATGACAGAGGCATTCATACAGACTTTTTTTGCTTATTTATTTTAAAAAAAACATAGTCAACCTGTTTTATACATAAATATAATAAAACAATAAAAGAAATGAACATTCACAAATGTCTCTACAAAATAATAAATATAATGAAAGCAAAATACCACACATCAAGTCTTTTACTGTCAACTACTCTATGTGTCCTACATGTATACCTTTATACCCTGCTCCTCCCAACAAAAGTGGCACATGCTCAAACCTCATTAGTGTTGTCGCATTTAACCCTTCTGTCGTTTAGGCTACATTCTAATTTTTTTTTGTTGTGTTTTCATCTATATCTAAGTAAACCAACCTTCTAGAATAGCAAGTGCACTTCTCTAATGAAACTTCTAATTTCCTTTATCAATTTGTATTTTGCTGCCTTTCACATATGGCAGCAAATTAAAACCAGACACTCTTAGGTCAGTGTACCTGTGCTGGAGTATGTGAAATTACATTGGATTCACCTAATTCTAAAGTTTACTTCACTTAACTGTGTTAATCATAAATTGTGTGCGTTTGAATGTGGGAATCACAGCCTAATAAAATTCCACTAATATGGAAATATTTCTAAAAAATGAAAAAAAAAAGGCAACACTATTCACATTTCAAAACAATTCAAGTTCTACCATCATAAATGGCTTTTAGAAATGCTATGTAAAAAGCGTATCAAATCCAAATGGGAAGTCCCAATATCCTATTTGACTTAGTAGATTTTGCTTTCCACGTATTAATCTTCTTGCAGTAAGGAAAAGGAATACATGGTTAAAATGAAGACTACTGCATAAGTTTTAACTTCCATGTTGCTGTGCTGCAGCCCTCAAACATCCCAACCACACTCTTTTCATAAGGTCCTATTCTGAATGCAAGGCATTCTGTTTTCATATACAGTGAATCCAAAACAGAAGTGTTGTAAAATATAGTTTCTCAATACATTTCAGTTTTATGTGCAAAAACAACAGTACCCTGCATGTGCAACTGTAGTAGCCAGTCCTGCAGCAACGAAGACTCACTACTTATAACATGACAAAGATGTAAAACACGTGCTACCTGTTCTCTGTTAAAGAACTGACAAGAAAAATGGCTCCGTATAAAATACATAATTTCTTTTACTTAAAAATAACTCAGTGAAAATGGGTGAATCCCACTGCACATGGGATATGAATATGCATACTGTGGCTATAACTAAACATTTGCTTGTTGATGCCATAACAATTATCCTTCAATTGTAACTAAATGTAACCAAAAGATTACTGTCCTACAAAAATATTCAAATATTAGAGAATGATACAGAACAAAATGTTACAAAGACTTAGCAATCACAGGGACAACATTTAAATCAGTTAAGCCTTCAAATCAAAGTGCCTGAACACTTAGGCACATATGGTATATTATTATCCGGTGACTTTAACAAACAAGAATCTGTCTTACCGGTTAAAATAGATCATGTAACTGGGTTTACTGAAAGCATTTAAACGTTCCCACAAACAAGAAAAACAATCCTCTCACCCTCCCGACACCAACACCACCTTTAAAGTATCAACAGCCTGATGCAGAGTACACTGACATTGCAAAGATGTGACACTGCAAGTTTACAGTATGATCTTGTTATTAACACAACTGGTGATTTTGAATCCATTTTCAAAATGAAATGTTACATTCTACCAAAAGTTTTCTACAATAGAAATTCAGAGCTTTAGAAAACGTTCAGCTCCATTGGTTTTCTCTCTATGCATTCAAAAGGCCATTAAAAATGGAGTGATCAACTGCTCAAGCATCTCGCAGCTACATGAAACTTCTTCCTGTAAACCAGTGGCACACAATCTCCAATACCAAGTTAAACAAAAACAAACAAGAAAGAAGCTCCATCTTTGGATTTCATGTTCTTGGAATATTTGTAAGAATTTTAGGTCTATAACAAACCGCAAAGTTACATATATAAAAAATATCTATGGTACCACAGTCCAAATCTTTCTTATTTCCTAGTAAGTTCCCAAAGAGACAAAACACAGCTGGAGCTTGATACTTGTTAGCAACTGCAGTAAGCATACTCATGCAGTTACTGTATTTAAAGAAAGTTTATCATTCAAAGCACTCCAAATCTTATTGGAAATTAACTTCTTTACAAAAGTTCTAAGTCCATTGTTAAACTGATAAATTCAGATAGTAAATAATAATGAGTATTAAATGCAAACCATCAACAGCTCACTTTTACTGGCATTTTTTTCAGCATATATCTTGTCATTGCCAAAGTGGCTTTTTGCTTTTTAATAGCCTTTTTAACAAGCATTCCTGATTGCTATATGCTAAACTTTACTCTATTGTAGTGTTTTTCTCTCTGTATGGGCCTGTTCCTGCTTCCATGTAGGTCAATGGAAAACTATTATTAGCTTAGTGGAACAGGACTGGGCACTATGTGCTCTGAAACTACTACATTAACCCCTTAGAATGCAGATTGATAATGCATAAAAAATGCAAGTAAATTCCCATTTCTTCTGAAATGTATTTGTATGTTTAAACTTACTTTCATCTTGATTTTTGAAATTATTATATAATAATACTGATTATTTGGATCCTAGGCTTGGCAATTACTAGCTCATTGCTCTTAACATCCTAGCTAATTCCTTAGCTTGAATAAAAGCAAATTGCCTAAAAACTTTTCTACTGTAGCATGAACTACATAGAAAGCTATTTTCTATATACTGTTAAAGTGGTTACATAGTGTTGCCTGTACAACTGTAGTTCTTGCCTTCCATCCTATACATTGTACCATTTCAGGATGAAAGACTATGTAAAATGAATGTTGTAACAATATATTCAGGCATAAAGCTGCACTTTGCAGAACTGATCTCTTGGTATGCTGCCATACTAAACAGTAGGAGGAAAAAAAAAATGAAAGCTAATACTGAATGCTAGTTTTGACCTGGCACACAATTCTGACTGCTGTGTTAGAGCAGACAGGAAGATGTAGAGCTCCACTAATAAACACACAATGGAATTTTCTGATGCAAGGCCAGAGAATTGGAGAAGCTAACAGAAACCAGTCACCGTAGAGCTAGGGTAAGGGAAAAGCCCCATGTGAAATAATAGCCAAAAGGAAGTAAGGAAGCAAACAGATGGAGCACACAACAGGAGAGCAGCTAGTGAAGTACAGCAAGCAGAAGTTCCATATTACTGAAAAACGAGTATTTCGAGGTGAGGCTGGTCAGTAAAGAAGTTCAGTCAGGGGCTTTTTTCTTCTACCTTGTACCCAGGAACTGATTTGGACAATACAGAACGTTTGGAACCATCTTTTCTTGGAGTAGCACTTTTGTCTCTTGTTTTTTGTCTTCCCTGAAAAGAATCCTCCTGGTTCTCTGTGGCGCAATCACCTTCAGATACATTGCCAGACGAATTGTCCTATAATAAAAATACCATAGCTATATTTTTTATTTTTTTGGATAGACAGACAAGTCTTTCCTATGCCCCACAGCCAACGTAAAAGGAGGATACACCTTTCCTTCTACAGAAGCATGGGGTACATCACAGTCTAGAACGCCTTTTCTCACAATCTTGAATGCCTATTTTTTTCTCATGCTAAGAGACTGGCATCAGCAGTAGCAGTCATGTTTTCCAGATGATCTTTATTACAGTGCAGGAGCTCAGTGTTAATTCTTTGAACCATTTTCCTTAAACGTTGGCAAGGAATCTTCTACATCAATATGCAGGATGTGTCCTTTACATAATAATTGGCCAGCAAAAAGTTAAAAGTGCCCTGGCCATGCATTAAACTACAAAATTGCATTCGAGTTCAATATGTGAAGGTTTTCTGCCACCCTCATCCACTATTTTCACCAGGAGCAATCTATATATTTCATTTGGATTGCAGCAGAAGAATGCCGTCAAAGGCTAAACACATTTAAATATTTCATACAGGACCAGACAGAACACATGCTGCAGTCCAGGCATTTTTTGAAGGATGGGGAGGCAAGAAGGAAGGGAAGAGGTTCAAAGAGGGCAAGAGAACAACGTAAGCATAATTAAGAGTAGCAGCACAAGATTTTTCTCAGGAAAAAAAGTGTTAATAAATGCCTTCAAAAGGCTTCAGCAGAAAAAAAATATATGAAATATATATAAATGATTAATATTATATATATATGATTAATGTCATTTATTACAATAAAACCAAATGGTCCATTAACAATGGTGCCCCAGAGTAAAAGGCACTCTGCACAAATATAATAATCACCAGTCTACATCCCAAAGCCTAAAATCAAAATAGACAAAACAGACACAGGGTAAGGGGAAGAGGATAACAAAAAAGCAAAGCAAACCGTAGCAAGAAGTGGTATGTTTCAGTTATTTTAGGGGAAGGGTTATTTAGGACAATTTAGGACCATCAAAATACTAAAGAGACTGAAGCGATTCAACAACAAGGAAGGGGAAAAGGAAAAGGTGTACAGTTGGATTCACTAGGGAGATCCAAAAAATGCTAAGTTCCCCAAGACTCAGAAACTGGCAGTGCCTGACAACTGTCCACTTTCATGATCCATAGAGACCTTTTCAAGACAATATGTCCCAATGGCTAAATTGAGAGCTCTGCTTCTATAGCCAAAGCCACTTCACAGGAATCTCATCTTCAGTTTTCTCCTATACCTTTCTAACACATGCACAATCGTTCCGACTTCTGCATTCTGTCAATAAAATGCCTATGTGGGAAACGAACGGAGAGTCTGCTCAATCCAGTTACTTCTCTTCACCATGAAGGGGAAGAGAAGCCAATGGTAAAGAGAACTGGCAGAAATGGCCTGAAGACCACCTAGCACAACTGGAGCAAGAGTAAGTCAAACGCTTGTGCTGACATTTAGCATGTTAGGAGGTTTTTTTTCTTTTTTCTTCTCCTCTTTCTCCCCACAAAACACAAGCGGAAAGGGTGCATGAACAGCTACTTCTCCCCTTTATAAGCCTACCAAAGTGACTCCTTCACCTCTTTGCTTAAAAGCATCTTGTGAATACTTACACAAAATAAATATTTCTATATCTAAGTTTAATATCGAACATACTGACCACTTAAAATACTAGTCAACTGAACTAGAAATTGTGGGTTTAGAATTTTTTTCCTAAGAGTAGGATTATACTTGTGGAAAGTGTTTGTCAACAACACAGTAACTATACCAATGTTTCAGTGACACTTGACAGCCCCTCTGAGGCTCAGCTCCTCTAGACAATTCAGAACTCTATCAAACTGGTATGTGAAAGTTTCCCTTAACTTCCAGAAACAGTTAATTTTGTGTTTGTATCCAGTATAGAGAACATATATATGTTGTTAAAGTTGTACTCTGAAAAATAGAACAGACTGCTTTTAATTATTTTTAGAATAAACCTACTTCTATATCACAAGAAGAAAAAGTCATTAGGGCATCACCTCCTATATTCTAGCAATAGATTCTGTGGAACTACAGATCTCTGCACAGAAGTGTTAGCAACCTGTCCCATCAGCTGGTGGAAAGGGTTTATCAAAGGAGCTGCAGTTGGGAAGCTTCTTCAAGGTTTCTTTAAGAGGGAGGAGAGGGCTTGATGTTTCAAATATTTGTTACACTTACTTTAAAATAAGTAAAATGGAAAGCTGGAGAATGGCGTTATAAAATAAAGAGAAGCACTAAAATAAGAATAAAGGAGTACTTTTATTTGATCCTCCTTCATTTTGCAGATGTTAAAGATTCTGCTATGAAATTACTGAAAGTTAAAAGGTGAAGGGAAAGGGTATTTTTGTTGAAGAATATTTTCAATTTGTCTCACCGAATTGCCTTTGGTTTTCCGTTTTTCATCACCTCGACCTTCTTCTGCATCATCTGAATCTCCATCACTGTCTAATGCAGGCAGCTCAGGATCCAAGGGGGGCTCATAAAGAGCTGTGTTTAATGGTAAATAACGGAGTTCATCAGGAGAGTATCTAAAGTTTAAAAAAAAAAAAAAAGCGATGTCTGTGCACTTTATTATATACGTACAGACATACCTTATAAACATAGAACACAAAGTGCTCTGTAAAGTAAGAAACAAGGATTATTACAATTTCCTTTTTCAGGAAAGCCCATAAAAAGCAGGTAAAGTTCTCTAAATTCAGTAAACACTTCTCCTCAAAAACGTTTGCCAACCTAGTTTTAGTCATCTTTGTGTAGGCAGGTATTCCTGGAAGACAGGAAGAATATATTTGCAATGTTCCAAACCTACACAGTAATAAAAGGCCACACAGCCCTTATAAACCCTCTCCGGACCCATGTTACTATGACCAACTGACTTTGCTTATAGATGCACAGGACCCACACAACATGTGCACAACAGTTCTAAGGCTGACACACAAGCAGCTGGGTTTTTAAAAAGTTCAAAAAAAGACGCAAGATTGCCACACAGAAATCAAGCTTACATTACAGCACTGTCACAGTGACATTAATTTTAGCACACATGGAGTGGCAGAAGTTAAATAAGCACACAAGGCAAGCAGGAATTAAATCGTTTTTTACTACAGTAAACATGTGAGCAGGCCAAATCTGAGGCATCATCATACAAGATGATGGTGAAATTACTGCTGCAGCCAATATCACATGTTTTGTTGCAGAGAGATGTCAAATTCTACATCTATGAGATTAGCAAGGGCCTCGAGCACAAAACTAATTCAAAAATTTACAGTAAATATACACATATGCTTTTCATCAGATAGATGTGGAGAAAATAGATCAGTGCAACAGAATCAGCAGTTAGGATGCTTTTAAATACCTTTTGTAATACTCCTGGAACTGGCCGGGTATGAGAGCCACTGGATAAGGACTAACCTTTGTTCTCTCCATAGGTAAGATTTTGTATTTTCCTTGAGGCACCTGGATAATCTGTATTGTTCAATAAAAAACAATGAAATTTTTGTTTCCCATTCAAACTATTGAGCCTTCCTCACCTCCCAAATATTTCTGAACTAACAAATCTCTCCCGTTAAGTTGGAAAGGCTGAGATCTTCAATCCAATTCATTAAATCTGGAACATACCCACACAAAAAAATAATAGTCCACATTCTAACACAGTCCACTTCTAACAGGGGCCTAAATCAGAACATGTAAGCCCTCTGTAATAGACTGCCATTTTTGCTTTTACTGCCTTCAGGTAAGCAGTGCAGTCCTGCCTCAAAATGCAAGCTAATTTTTGTTTTTGGATTAGAAATAGTATTAACAAAAACTTCTTAATAACTTAAACAATGCTACTACTGGGAAGTTAAGAGATATGACAAGAAATAACACTGGAATTAAAAGAGCCCTCTTGCAGATATCTACTTAATTAGAATAAAAGTTTTCTCATTAAATATTTTTGAGATAATTATTTTCAGCAGCTTTACCAATATAGTGGTAAAACTGTTTAAGTCTTTGTATCAAAATGTATCATATTTGAAAAAAATAAAGGCTTTTTTATTATAAGGTAGAATGATACAAAACAAACAAACAAACAAACAAAAAAACACACCTTTACTAGAACAAGCAAGGAACTACCTATTGACAAGAAATTTAACTTATTGATAAGAAATGTAAGTATCCCTACATGTGTCTGTAAATCAAAATAGGCTCTTCTTTCTTCCATTCTCTCCCGGTTTAAATTACTGTTGAACTCTGCAGCTTTCTTGGCAGCTTTCTTTATATATTCTGGAACTTTACTAGCTTCTACTTTCTGTGTGTTCTGCTGTTGCATTTGCTGAAATAAAAACAATTTCATTAACTCACACACTTTTCAATACACATTGACAAGTGCTTTTTTCTTATAGTCCACGTTTTACAGATCGGATTCATTTAACACATACTAATTACTTACAGAGTATTCTTTATAGTGATCTGTTATCCGCTGACGTTCCTTCTCTTGCAGTATAACAGAATACTCAGCATGTTTGGCAGGGTATTCTTTAATCATAAGATCAATTACTTCATCGCTACGTAAGGCTGTTAGACCTAAAAGAAATAGAAGCAATAATTATGCTATCTGGCAAAATTAGTTGTACATTATTTATATCCTACAAACTCTTGGAGCAGCCAGAGATGACAATCTGCTACGAACAAGGTGCTCTGTGTCTTTTCCTCTCACTTTCTCCCTCTCTCAAGCAGGGGTGAACTTGAGCCGTTCACTTACTGTGACTCCATCTGACTAAAGAGTTTGCTTCTACCCTAAGAGAAGGGCTCATTTCCTTTCCTGCTTACAGTTACAGAACCCAAAACCCACACTCACAAGGACTCTGGCACCTATGAAGTAGCCAATTTAACTCCTTAAAATAGAAGTTAAATTATTAAAATTGTATTTTTTTTTCTTCCCCCAGAGGAGGTTTATGCTATCTCAGCAAGTTAGATGAATGTATTAAGTTTGAAAGCACAGTAGATAGGACCAGGTAAGAAGGATGTCCCCTCCTACTACTGGTGAACTGTTAATTCATTCGCTAGTACAGAAAATCTAATTTAAGATTTTACAAATTAATATTCACTGAGAGTAATAAGGGAAGTTGAACAGAGATCCCCAACTCCTGATGAAGATACTTAAAGCTCTGAAGTCTGAAATGCCTCCGACATAAAAATCTCAGCTTGCAAATACGATACAGAACTAAAAATAAAATAAAATAACAAAAAAGAGAGAGAGAGCTTCCAACATAATTAATCTCCATTCACTGAGAATACAGAGGAGGCTGAGTTATGTTACTACCACCACAGTTTTTTTTTTTCTCTCAAAATAAGCCATATCAAGGATGCTATTCCATTACAAATACATTCAAGTGCTTTAACCTACACCTTAGGCCAACTCCCATATGATATTCCAGTGTTTGCCGAGACCCAGCTAACTCAAAAAACAAAACCACCGTGTACTTTTTAATTTGAAGTATCACGCACATTTCCAGAAAGAAAAAAAAAAAGGCACTAATTTAATTTACAACACAGAAGGTATTTTGTTAAATCATTAGGGGTTTTTTTTGGTTTTTTTTGTTGTTGTTTTTTAAATAAGCCTATAATAGCAATATCTCATCGTTAATTTACACAAACCAAACCAATTTTCATTTCAAAATGTAACTTTCCAGTTCCGGCTGACACAATTCTAGTCTATGAAACTGAATCATGTTATCAGTATGTCATATTTTTCATACCATAGCAAGAGAACAAAAAAATTGTTTTCTTACCTAACGTGCACTGAGTCTCTGTGATAACATTTAGTTCCCTGAGGTAGAGTTTCTCCTTGTGAGATAGATCTCGCCTTTCCAAATCTGCAAAGGATAAAACAACAACAATAAAGTGCAAATTTATTCAAAGACCCCCTAGCAACCTCCACCAGAGTAAGTAGAAGTATTTTGACAATTTTATCTCCAGGTAGCATAAGCCTGTATTCAATATATGTTCTAAGAATGTGAGCATTTTTTTTAATACTACTTTGGCCAAAATTATTATTTACAGATTTACTGAAGAAATTTAATTTTAATGGAAATGTCAGAAGAGCTCAGCTGCACAGAATACAGAAAAGCACTGAAGGCACATTCTTTTCTTTTAATATGCCTTTTAATAATAAATTCAATTACAGAAGAGCAAGATTTTTTCAGTTTCAATTAAATGAAGGCTTAAATCTTAATATCTCCCAATTTGCTTTTAAATTCTTCCACAATATAGCAAGTGTGAAGTAATTTAGGAAACAAAATGCAGAGATATAGCAGTATAACAAGAATTCACCAATGAAATCCTAAAAACAAAAAGCAAGGTAAGCTTTCAAAAGCCACTTGTTCTTTAACCCCCAAATAAGACTTTTTACAGACCTTCAGTGGCAACACTGAAAAGCCTTTAACTGTTTTGAAAACTGGGGGATCATTTTCAACTAATGTGTTAGCAACAAAACCAGAAAGCACATCATGCATATCTTAGACCTATTTTCGTCAGTGTCTTTTATAGTCAATTGGCTAATTTGAAGTCTGATACTCTTATTACTATTTCAACGATCAAAGAGAAGATAGGAACTTACAAAAAAAAAAAAAAAAAAAAAAAAAAAAAAAAAAAAAACGAAGACTTCTGAAAACATGGATACCTGGATATTTTCTTTTAAAGGAAGTCACACACAAATATTCACTGACTTGCTCCTGAAGCATGTAGTATTCTCCTGTTTCATCTGGTGGCCACTTGTATTCTATCAAATTTTCAGC